TCCACCACTGGGCTCACCCCCTGCCTCCTCTTCAGATGGCCAAGGACACCTGCCACAGCCTAGCTTAGAGGCCCCCCTTCTCCAAGAGACCTTTCTCAATCGGACCAACCCCAGGTGCCTCTCCGTTTCCCAGACCTGCAGCATTCAGCATCTGCCCCACTCCTGCCTGGCAACACTCTTGTGGGTTCTCTAATTGCTGCTCCCGCTGATCCATGGGGTATGAGCTCTGCTGGGCATCTCTCAATTTAATGCCAACTCGGCCAGGCCAGCTTTAGGCAGGCCAGCTAGGCTTGTCTTCTCACCACTGCACCCAGCTCAGTCCCCTCTATAAACAAGCAGCAGCAGCATGATAAAGAACACCTATATGGCACTTGATATGTGCCAGGCAAAGTTCTAAGGCTTTTTACACATATGACCGCATTTCATGCTCACTCTTATTACCATCATCCCCATTTCATTGATGAGGAGGAAACGAGGGCACAGAGAAGTTACATCACAGGCCCCAAGTCACACAGCTAGTGAGAAGCAGGTCGGTGACTCAGAACCAGGCACAGCCCTTGCCTGTTTCACCAGGCCGCTGCCCAGCATCCTCGCTGCATGTGCCAGCATTGGGCCGAGCTCTCACTGCAGCCCAGCCCAAAGCCCCCCTTCTTATTTCAGCGGGGCCAGGCACTCAGCCAGGAACTGCGGCACAGCGGTGAACAGACAGACACAGCCTGTGACTGTGCAACCCTGTGGACTGCACAGACCTGAGGGGAAGGCCCGCAAGGAAGGAGTCAAGCACTGATTAAATTCCTTCCATTGTGCTCAGAATCACGAGTGAAAAGAACAGGACGCTTTAAGAGAGGAGTTGGGGGCTGGGTGGCTGGCTTGGACGGTGTGGTAGGCAGAGTAACAGCCCCCCACCTCAGACGTCTACGTCCTAACCCTGGGACCTGTGAGCATGGCAGGTTTTGTGGCAAAGGGGAATTAAGGTTACTAATTAGCGGACCTGGAGATAAGGGGAGTACCCTGGGTTATCCAGGTGGGTCCAATAAAACCCCAAGGAGCCTTATGAGTGCAAGAGGCGGGCAGGAGAGAGAACCCGCGCGGTGGCGTGAGGATAAAGACTCGGCCCCATGTTGCCAGCTCTGCAGATGACGATGAAGACGGGCCCGCGAACAAGGGATCTGGGCAGTATGTACATGCTGGAGAAGGAACGGCTCTCCTCTGCAGAATGAGCACAGCCCTGCCTGCCCCTGGGCCTCAGCCTGGGAGAGCCTGGCCTCCAGAACTGAGAGGTGGCGGATTTATCTTGTTTTAAGTCACTTGTTTGCAGTAACTCACTTCAGCAGCGATAGGAAACGAATACATTTGGGGTCAAAGGGAAGACCCCTCTGAGGAGGTGAAACCCACAGGGATGAGAAGGGGCAGGGCAGGCTGGGCCAGTCACGTGGGAGCAGCGGGGCGGGGACGCGCCCTGGAAGCAGAGGGAATCACACCCGTCTCTCCTTCCTCCTGCCAGGGTGCAGCTGGCCTGTCTCTGCTCGCCTCTTGCTGCTGTTCCAGACCCCCTCACTGGCCCAAGCTCCTGCTCTACCCTCACCCTCACCTACTACTGTCAAGAAAATAAGAGCTGTCAATTAACTGAGAAATTTAATTGAAAGGCACCTACAAATGATGTGTCCCAATCCATGGCAAGTAGAGTGCCAGGACTGGAAGGACCCACCATACTCCTAGGGCAGTGATGGCGAACCTTTTGAGCTCGGCGTGTCAGCATTTTGAAAAACCCTAACGTAACTCTGGTGCCGTGTCACATATAGAAATTTTTTGATATTTGCAACCACAGTAAAACAAAGACTTATATTTTTGATATTTATTTTATATATCTAAATGCCATTGAACCAAGAAAAATCAACCAGAAAAATGAGTTCACGTGTCACCTCTGACACGCATGTCATAGGTTTGCCATCACTGTCCGAGAACCTGCCGTCAAATAGCATCTTGTCTGTTGCAGCCCTGGGGGGCCTCCCTCCCTTAGCAAAAGGACCTACTATGTGCTAAGGTCCATGAATAGTGCAGAAAACAAAGCAGAGGGCCTGGTCCTCAATGAGGTCGCCTCCCAGTGGCATAGCGAGCGGGCCACGAACACAGTGGGCCGTGTGGCACAACAAAGCCAAGTGCAAGGCTCTGCCCCCAGAGGACGCCACGCCAGAGGCTTCACGGGGCGGGTAAGATGCACGTTCAGGCCCGAAGAGTGACCCTGGATCCGAACGGGCCGTAGTAGGAAGTGGTCCAAGCTGAGGGCACAGAATCAAGAGGGACACTGACCGGGAGGCGTGAGTCGCGCTGGGAACCAGGAGCGGTCAGGGCTGGGGACAGGCTGGGAGAGGAGGCCGGAAAGGCAAGCTGAGGCCCGACCATGGAGATGCCTGAATGGCCGGCCAAGGACCCGCTCTGCTAAAGGCGGGCCATCTTAGCTGTGAGCCAAACCTGGGGCAGTTCCTGCAAAGACCGTGCGTAAGAGCCCGCAATGTCCCTGAAGCCGTCCAAGAGGCACATTTGGAAATCATGTTGGAGACTGTCCCAAAGCCGTGACAGCGATTTGGACACTGAGGAACAGGAACCAAGGACCGTGCCCACCGCGTATGGATTCCCGGCCCTGACAGTGCTGGGGTATGTGAGAAGAGAAACCAAGAAAAGGAGAAAAGAGAAAGGGAGGGGAGAGGCACGCACAAGAGTACACTGTGTACTTGCCCTGCCTCTGCTTTGGAAACAGAGTCTCAGGGGACCACGCCCGGGGCCAACCCTGTGGCAGCCCCTGCCTACCTGCGTCCACCATAAATGGGCAAGGAGCTGCCATCAGCTCCCACCGGGCACGGCCAGGCCCATGGCCAGGTGTATTTTGCGCCTGGTAATTAGGGCTGGAGTAACGATGGGGGCCGGAGGGCAGGCTCTGTTTGGGTAAACTCGGGAAAGTTCGGCTGCTCTCTGAACGTGGCCTCTTTGGGGTTGGCAGTGGGGAGGCAGCAGGGCAGCTGGTGGCCTCAGCTGCCAATATGCTGCTGCCTACCCTCTGGCAGCACAGACCCAGGCAGGAGTGCTGAACTGACCAGCAAAGACCCAGACACAAGCCATGCAGCCTTGGAAAACTCCCCACCTGCTCTGAGCCTCGGCTTCTCCTGTTGGAAAACGGGGGCTACACTCCAGACCGGCCCACCTCGCAGGGTGGCAACATCCGAGGGCTCCCAGGAAAGCACTTTGCATTCATTCAGATGCTGCATAAATTCGAGGGGCCATTAATGGAGATGACTTGGGATCCATCTCCTGAGGCTGCTCCAGCTTGCTCACAGTTGGGAAGAGTGGGGATGGGGGTGTCCCGCCACCTGTTTGCCTTATGCCTGCTAGTTCCCTGCCCTCTGCACGGGCCCATCCTGGTAGCAGAAAAGGCAAAGGCTTTGTAGGTGTGACCTTGGCAGGCCTCTCGGCATTGGCACGGCCCAGGGCGAGAGTACGCACGGAGGCCACTTCCCATATGTCTCATATTTGAAAGCCATAAATCAAGCTAACAAACCGTTAAATGAAACATGCTCCGTCCTCCTACCTTGTTAAACACATCTTTGTAATAACCTGGAAAGCAGGAGTGAATTTAGAATTCCCGGACCCCTGGGCATCTGTGCCAGGACCTGGCTGCGTGGGAGAGCCACCTGAGCTAGGATCTGCCCTGCTTCCCTTCCCTTCCCCAAACCCACTTACACCCAAGCTCTGTCCACACCCCCCGCGAAGAGCCAGTCCTCAGCCCCGGGGTGCACATGCCTGTGATGTAAGTCAGGGAAGATGCTGGAAGAGTCTGGTGGTATCTGGACAGGACCCTAGGGTGGGCTAGAAGGAGGGGCTCAGGTACCAGGTGGACAGATCTCCTTGGCCCTGAAGATGGCCAATCGGGGGGTGGGGCCTATGGGGCCAGAGTAGGTCCCTCATGCCTGGGTCTAAGGGGGGTTCACACTGTTCAGACTCCTACTTGCTGGTTGACTTGGACCCGTCCCAACTCCTTTCTGGGCTCAATTTCCTCAGCAAGAAAGCAGGTGAATGATCCACCCGCCTGCTTCTCAGAGCTGTTGTGAGGCTCCACAGAGAAGTCCCTGGGGTTGGAAGGGGAGAAATAACCAGCTGGCTTTCCACACGCCCGAGAGATCAGCAGTGTGTGCGGGGAGAGGAGCGCCGCTGGAGCCCCCCAGCACGGAATAAGTCGTGTGGCCCCGTAAATGATTCAAAACAAGGGACCACACGAGCCCTTAAAAGAAGTGTAACAACCCTTCAACCTGACTTTCCCCTGATCATGTCTTTAAGCATCTTTTAAAAAACGAATACTTGGGGTACCCCTGCCGTGCTCATGCCCTTCGCACGCGGATAGCGCCATGTGCTGTGTTGTGCATGGAAGGGCGCGTGGTGGCCTCCCTTCCACTGTCTTGAAAGAAACTGACAGGCTGCCAGCCCGAGGGGAGCAGGTTTCAAGGGCCACAGGGTGTTCAGTTTAGAGTCAAGTGACAAACCCACCAGACAGCTTCCTGTCTGTCCTGAGCACATGGTCCTCAGTTCCAAAGCGTGAGGCCACGGGGAGCTCCTCAGGGGTTCTCCCTGTGCTCATGTCACATGGAGCGGGTGGGGAAGGGAGATGGGAGGAGAGGATGGGGGAGGGCCCTCACTCCCCAGGCTGGGAGGCCTGCGACCAGGTCCCGCACCCCTCTGTGTTCAGACTTCCCAGGTGGCCAATGAGGACTGTTTGAGTGACAGCCAATAGCCCCCCTCTCTCTGAGGTCCCCCCGGGTGCCGCCACTGGCTGGTCCCGGCCCCACGGCAGGCCCGGCTGCAGAGGAAGCCGAAAGTGCAGACCTCTGCCTGATTTATTCAGGTCCACTTCTCAGAAGCATAGAGGTCACCAGGGCTGCTCGGGGAGATGCCCCCCCCTCCCGAAACCCCATCCGCCGCCTGCTGTGGAGACGCCAACAATGCAAACTCACCAGGCACCATCCCTGTCAGCGTCGGTGCCGAGTAGCTGCCCTGTCCGGCGGGGGGGACGTGCGGAGGGTACCCGGGGAGGGTCGTGCTCGCCAAGTCTCGGCCTGAGGAATCAAAGCAACAAATCACAGGGTGAGTGTCTCCGCGGCCAGCTGCTCATGTCCACCGCTCCCCGGACATCTGCACATTTGTCACGTCTGGACGCTGAGCACCAACATGCCCCCAGCTCCTCACGTTACTCGCATGGAAACACACATGCACACGTACCCACACACACACACACACACACACACACGCACGTGCACACCTCCAGCCACCCTGGCTCCACACAGCAGGAACAGGTGGCTCTGCTGTGTCCCTGGGAACTGGAGCTCCAGCCGGCTCACCATTTGGAAATGCCCCCAGTAGGACTTGGGCCTCAGCACCCACCGCCACCCCTTTGCTCTGTTGTGCCCTCTGCGTGAAGCACCCTCTGCTCCTGCTGCACTGGCCCAACATCACCACCTGCAGAGACCAGCTCAGACGCCTCCCTCTGCCTCAAACCCCCACAGCTCTGGTCCTCACTGAATTCTTCTGCCTTCAGCTAGAGCCAGTCACTCATTCAGTGAAGGCACAGGAGCACCTCCTGATACCAGATACTGTGCTGGGCACTGGGACCGGGAGGCAGACGCTGGCAAGAGCGTGTCCCTGCAGGCTGCCAGGTTCTGGAGAGCAGGGTGAGTCCTCATTCATCACCCACACCTCCTGCCTCCATGCTATTAATGACAACGACAAGCCAAAATGCTAACATGGAAACTACAAGACACCAGGTCTGTTCTTAGTATTTTAAATTATTAACTCAATTAACCCCCAAGAACTCTATGAGGTAAGGCACTGATACCACCCCATTTTACAGGGTATGAGACATTGGAAGGTCAAAGTCCACATGGTTAGCCACTCCATTCCACTGCCTTGCATGTGCACCTGGCCCTGCCTCTGACCCCATGTCCAGAGGCTCCACGTGTCTCAGCTGGGACACCCAGGCTGCGCCTTGCCTTCCAGCCACACAGTCACCACTGCTCACTGGCTCCATCACACAGAATGAAGTTCAACTGCACAGCTTCCGTGGATATGTGTGTTGGGATGAGAGCCAGGAGCACATCAGAGGAAGCTATATCTGCCCCCTGGGGGACAGAGGGTGTTGTCCTGATAAGAGATGGCTGGTGCATGGGAGCTCGCCTGGCTGCCTGAGATGGATGAGAGGGTCCTGAGAGAGGAAGGTCATGCCTAGAGACACTCAGCTGATTTGAGGCAAGGCTGGTACTGGAATCCAGCTCTCCGGCTCCTGGGATGGGGTTCTTTCTTCAACGGGGACTGAACCCCAATAGTTTCTGCCTCTGTTACACATGCTTTAAAACCTTGATTCCAAAAGCAAGGGATTGAAAAATCAGTGCCTCACTGAAGCCTCGCGCAACTCAAGAAGCCAGCTAAAAAAGCAATAACGTGAGCCTAAGGAAAGGAGGAGGAAGAAATGGATCAGGAAAAAGCAGAAAATAACAAATTAGGAAACAGAAAAGCAGACGTAACAATAAATACAACCAAGAATTGTTATTTGAAAAGACCAATAAGATAGATGAACCAAGGAATAAGGAGAAGATACAACCAGAGACATGGAAGAGATGATGCTAAAAACCATTTGGAAATGCATGGCTGCTCCGCACTAACAAATGTGGAAATCTCAACTCATGTAGAATTTTCTAGAAAAACATGAATTATCAAAATTAACTCAAGAAGAGGTAGAAAATATGAATAGCCTAATAACCTTAGAAGAAACATTAAAAGTTTTTTAAAATTATTTTAAAAAATAAGATGCCTCAGTCATTTAGCTTCTTGAACAAGTTTTTTGGTTTTGTTTTGAGCAAGATCTTTTTTTTAAGTTTTATTTTATTGTTTAAAGTATTACATATCTTCAAGGGACACATATTTCTGTTACTAAACTGTTCAATTATTAATATATATGCAAAAAAATCAATATCACTGATCAAGTAATATTAGAAAAAGAATACTATACCATGACCAAAAAAGGCTTAATTTGGGTATACAAGGATGATCGATATGAAAGCATTGGTTGGGAAAGCATATTAATGTATCAAAGGAGGAGAAACATGTGATTATGTCAAAGCTATGGAAAAGGCATTGGCTGAAACTCAATACTAATTCCTCACAATACCTCTTAGTAAATAAGAATTGGAGTATACTGCTTTGATCTGATATTGATCTTAAATCTAGAGTCAACAGCATACCTAACTGGTGAAATACTTGAAGCCTTCTTAGTAAAGTCAAGAACATGTTAAGGAAACCTGTCGTTACTGAAAACTGTTCAGAAAGTTTAGTCAGTACAAGAAGGCAAGATAGAGACATAAACATTGTGGGGTGGGGAACAGCAAAATTATGAATCGTTGGCTATACCTTCCATCTGGAAAATCACAAGCAAATCAGCTCATCTACGGGAACCAATAAAAAGGTTTGCTGAGACAGCCAGGTCATGGGTGCCTAGAATCAACACCGTTCTGGATTCACCAGCTCCCTGCTGCCTATTCAATTCGGTATAGATTTTTCAGTTTGGCTTCTAAGGCCCTCCTCAACCCGTGTCCCCGACCTGTGACCTTTCCAGCCTCATCAGCTCTGACTTCCCCAGCCATTCCCCAAACTGCCCCGTACTTCTTTCCTGCCCCCACGCCCTTGCTCATGCTGCTCATTCCTACCTGCTCTTCCTGCGTTCCCATCAACTAGGCCTTCATCCAGCCTTCAGATGCCACCAAGAGCCAGCTCCTCTGAAGTTTTTCAAGGCCCTTTAAGTATTTGCCTCTTCTGAAGGCCTCCCTGCCCTCCACCCCAATCCTCCCAGGGCAAAGGGGGCAGCATCACTAACAGATGGAGGTGATGAAGTCAGTAACGATAAGACGGCACTGACTAGTCCCAGACACGCTTACTCTTTTCTACACACTAACGCACGTTATCACCCTAACCACTCCATGAGGGCTGAACAATGATCACGCCCACTTTATAAGAAAGGGAGCTGCGGAAGAGGTTAAGGAACTTGCCTAAGGTCACACGGCTGGTAGGAAAATGAGCGGAGATTTGATCCCAGGTTGGGGAGCTCCAGCCTGAGCTTTTGGGTGGGGGTAAGGGGTGGAGGCGGGTGGGAGAAAAGTCAATGAAGAGGGCTGAGAAGTAGAGGTTAGCAACTGGAAAGGGTGGGCAGGTTAAAGCAGGAGAGAGGGTGTGGTGGAAGACGGGCTATCAGAAGGTGGGTGGGTGTCCATGTCTGTTTGGGAACAAATGCATCAATATTAACCCCTTGAGTGCCGAGGAGCTCCTATCTTTCACCAAAAGTGCCGGGAGCGCTATCAAAGCTTCGAAATGGTGTCCAGTTCTAAGTCTGCTTTTTATTAGTGATGATAATATTGCTAAATATGTCAATGTAGTAAAGGTTTCCTTAGGTTTTTGAATATGTAACTTTTTACTTGCGATTCATAATTTTTTTCCTAAACTGTTGTAAAATCAGCAAAAATGCCTTGGCGATTTTAGCAGAGTTCCTAGGGTATTGGTTGGCACTCAAAGGGTTAAGTCTCCACGGGGGGGCAGGGCTGCACAGCCCCGGGGCACACAGCAAGTGCTCATAACTTGTGGAGAGCCAGGACAGGAAGAGAAGGCCATCCAAGGCCTTTTTACTGATCCGAGCCCGTTTTGCACTGAACTGCTGTGAGACTCTGGGCAAGCCTTTTACTCTGATCATCAGTCTTTCCCAATTTTCAAAAAGAGCTCTTAGCTCAGTGATAGCCAGGAGCCCACACTGGTCAGTGTGTGCGAACACACGACGGATAATTCTACTGTGAGTAGATTTTTCTGCCTTAAAGTTCAACTGCGCCCGCAGCTCTGGAGCCTCCACAATCAATGCTGTATTGTGAGCTGCTGCCTGCAGTGCAGGACAGTGGCAGGCTGTGCCCCGCTTCCAGCCTCGGTGGGGCCCGGTGTCAGCTCCAGCTGCGGTTCAGGACTTGGCCGTCACGCTGGGAACTCATTCCATGCCCCGTCCCTCCTCCCTGTGCACAGTGAGGACCTGACAAATGGCCGCCTGCATCTGACAAATAACTCTGCCTCCGAGCTCCCTGTCACCGGGGAACTCTGAACTGTCCATGGCTCCAATCCCACCCCGCACACGTCCCCAGACCCAGAGGCTACCACCCGAGGCTGCAGGCACCTTCCTGGGACTGGCCACAAAAGCAGAGTCTGCTTATCACTGTGGTGTGGTGGGCAAAGAGGGGAGAAACTGGCATCTGTGTCGTCTCCAGGTACCTGAGCCCCTCCGCCTCTGTGCCAGGCACGGGGGTAGGCTGCTCATAAACATTATTCCACTTAATCCTCACAGCTTGTAAAATTCCCAGTCAACTTCATAAGACCGGGAGGGGAAGTCTCAGGGAGGCGGAATGCAGCTCGGAATGGGCAGGAAGGCAGCAGAGCACAGCAATGAAGAGGGTCCCTCTGCCCAGGCTCCACTCCTGGCTCTACCGCTTACTGGCTGCATGGTCCTGACAGAGTTCCTCGCTCGCTCAGAGCCTCCGTTTCCTCATCTGTAAAGTGAGGCTAATAATAGCCAACATTTATCTAGAGCGAACAACGGCTAACACGTACAGAGAGAAAACTATTATCCATTTATTCCTTCCACAGCCCTCCTAGAGAGCTCCTATTACCCCTATTTTGCTGTGGGGAAACGAAGGCACAGACAGTTTAGGTAACTTGCTCACAGTTGGTAAGTAAGAAAGGCAGGTTTCAAACCCAGTCAGTCTGGCTGGCAAACCTGCACGCTGCATCCCGTGCTGTGCCACCGTGGCAGCAATAACAAAACAGGCCTCTTCCGTGGGGCATCCTGGGGGGTGGGGGGTGGGGTCAGTGAGAAGCATGTGAACACGTGGCACAGTGCCAGCCCCGGCGAGCCTTGGGGGAGATTGGCTTATTGGCTGCAACCCTTAACCCCACCCTTATAACCATCATCTTGAAAAGTAAGTGGTAATTTGACTCCAAAAAAAAAAGTAGGGAAAACGTAACATTAAATTTTTAA